GACGTCACTTCAAAATTGTACATAGTAAGAAACTGATAACGTCATCCCAAAATTTTGCAGAATAAATCTTATGTGCAAAATATGATGAGTCTATAGGTACTTGTGACTTATCAGTGCATTCATATTTTTGGAAATTGCTTATACAGGGCGACTAAAAAATTAGTCAAAGAGTCAATTTACTTTTCCAAGTACCAGATATATTTTTTGCCGCCATTTATTGTGTATAATTCCAGTGATGATAAATTCTGGGAACGTTTCCGGATTTCATTTACATTTTTACTTCCAGAGCATAAGCTAAGGGAATATCAGGGAAATGACTACTTTTATGTTTCGTCGACGTTTCATGGCCCCTACTCTAGCAGTCGTAATACAAAGGACAGATGGCAGACAGACAGAAGGAAACAGGAGACCTATTGTTTTATACAAAAAATAAGTCTTTCGTTTCCGTCTCTCTCTCATCTATCGTCTGCCGTCTGTCGTCTGTGTCGATTTTCATCAGACAGATAATTTCCGAAACCACCGGTTCGATTGCTGTCAAATTTTAATATATATTAGAAATATCGTGTAGATGGTAAAACGCTAACTAAAATTTGTCTAGTCATCCCCATCAACAATTTGATGACGAAGTTCTCTCTAAATAACTTTAGATTTTAATGTATCACATTTTCAAACAGAGCTTTTTTTCCACAGAAAAATCGGATATTTATAAAACGGTTATAAAATCATCATGGGCACATTTAAGAATTTACAGATCTAAAAATTGGTCACGCACAATAAATATACTTTGAAAAATCACTGTATCCATAATGAACAAAGTTGGCCAAAAATTAGTAAAGGTCGTCAAAATGTTTCCAAATTTTTAACCACAATAGCGACTGTTAAAGAATAAAGATAGAGTGTTCAGTACAGTATTTCTCTATTTTGGTTACTCTGAACGTACAGTAGAAAATTTTAATTGTTACTCTATTTTGAAAATAAAAAAAAAATGTATATTTTATTATCATCAACAGCTTGGGGAATATCGCTGTCTGGAATGCACCGTTATACGGTATACTTTTTCTATAAATAATTATAGGGTCGAAGTTGGTCATGGAAATGTGCCGTCTCTCACTTTTGGACTTTACTAAATTCCAAAGGATTCACGACCAATGGCACACGCATCTGTATGACTGGTTGCCTAAATGCTTCATATCTTGTTAAAAAATAAAACTAATTCGTTAAACAAATTTATTGCAGTTAAACATCACAGTAAATGTTGAAAATGTTCACCATTTTGTTCAAGGCACATGTTCACTTCCTTTTTAATTTCAAAAATGTTCTGTAACATCGTTTCGTCAATACTTTGGACCCATTATTTAATTTCGTGTTGCAACAGGAATTCCTGACGGCTGAGGAAATCTTGTGCAAGATGTTTACGGATTCTGCTCAAGTCGTCTCGAATCATCAACAACTTCCTCAGATACTGAAGCTCTTCCAGGAGATTTCCCCTTGTCGACACTGCCAGTTCGAACAAATCTGTCGCTTACATCTCTAATGTGAGCCTGTAACGATGCTTCTTGAATTATCAAATCACGGTATTTGACCAGATATTCTTGCTTACAAGCGGTTACAGAATACAAACACTCTCGGTTTACTAATGTTCCATTGCGATAATAAGACAAAAATGAAAATGTCATAACCATTTCCACGGACTTTGCACAAAAACAAAATATTTCGTATTCAAGCACCAATAGTTTGAAAACAACTATTCACACAATTAATTCACACTTGAAAAACGTTAAAACAATAAAAGCGATGATCTTAAATAACAAGTTACAAATGACTCAAATGATATTAATGACAAGTGAGAAATGTCATAGTGAGACATAATTTCAGCGAAACGGGATTTTTGAAATTCATGGCCAATTATGCCCTTAGAATCATTTATAAAAACTCTGTATTTCACGTATACTTGAAATTTGAAACTATAACAGGCGAATCATCCTTATTCCATCCTTAATATCACCACGTAGTGCAACATGTTTGTAGATTATATTAAATACACGTTAAAGTTAAATACATATAAAGGAAGAAATAAATAAACTATTAATTATTATTAATTATTATTAATTTAAGTAAATTTTCAATATAATTCTAGGGACACATAATTAATAATTAGTAGCTCGAACAAAAATAAATTTAATAAACATCATACAATTAATAGATGTAAAATTAATTACACTGTGGGCTTAACTTGTAACGCCTAATTACTTTAATAAGTCACATTCACCATAACGCAATAATTTAAAATCAATAAAAATAAATCACTATAATATATATCCTTACTGCTTACGATGAAAACGAGTTATTTTTGATTTATAAGAAATTTGATTTATTAAAATTCGTAGCACAAGCAACTCGATGTAGAAAATTTAAATTTGCACATTGCTAACAAGTCGTTTTTAAGGATGAAATTGTCAGGTTGAGGTCTATACCACCAATTAACTCGTTAATTTTTTGACGCATCATCGCAACATGTAACTTGTTAGTTATCCAAACACAGCCGCAACTGCTGCTTACTACTTTTACTTGCTTAATTTTAAATACAAAAAAGATAACACTTTAATATTATAAACAGGGGTTGTTATGGTTCTCCTGATGCCTGTCACGAAACCCTGAGGGGGGTTTCCTGTCACTAATTCGAAACGTCTTATTTGATGGCGTGAATTTCTCTTTCAATTATCACCCATGTCCAGTTCAAGAACCCGATGATCGTTATATTTAGATCTCTCATGTTTTCAATGCCACAACAATTAGAAAAGGCCTCTTAAGCGCATGCCAAGTCTGGCTATTGTTATTGTCAGGATAATACCTAACGACAATTACGATGTTTGCCAAAGTCTGTTTGCGGCGACACTTGAAAACCGCGCTGATGTCAGCACTGACTACAGAACAAAAGGGGATTTTTTCATAGTGCACACACATGACATCACTTGCTCATCTAGCTAGCACTTACATAACAATACACCAATAAAAACACAACATTGTGGTTGTATGAAAACGCCCACGAAGGAAAGTTGAGTGTCCTTCAAAAGCGAGTTCGTAAAATTTTGAATTTAAAGGCTGCAAGGCCCAGCGGGAAGTGACAACAAAAATTAACTTCACAAAAAACAAGAAACGATGTCGACGCATGTTACCTCGTCATTCAGTGGAAAAAAAGTACGAACCGCAAACTTAAAATTAAGCTGAAAAGACATCAATCTAGATTGCGAGCATCCTTAATTTGATACTTTTTTTGTATTTAAAACTGAGGAATGTTTTAAAAGCTTTTTTGCTAATAAATTGTTCTCTTCCAAAGTATATATCAAAATTTCTATGGTCTGGACCACTGTGCAATTCGCTCGTAGATGTAGTTCAATTATATTTGTCAAGAATGTAAACGATATTAGGATTTATGTTACTGGCAACTAGGACTATAAATTAAACATGTAATCATATAGAGAGATTACCAAGCATACCAAAGTCTTTTCGCAAACTAAATACATATGTATATAAATGTAATTAATTAGCAAAAACAAGGCTTCATGTTTAGTCAGTTGGAAAACATTAAGCTTTTAGTCCGCTTTTGCAATATTGCGCTATTTTATCATATTAGTATGTTATTACTGTTCACAAGTTCTTTCTACATTTATGTTTATGTTTGGGAGCCTTTTATAACGACATATATCTTCGAAATCTCTATTGTCAGTTTAAAAAGCTTGTCGAGTCCTCCGAAATAACATGTGATCAAATCAATCTACAAAATATTAAATAAAGGCAATATTCAAAACCGGTACTATAGTTGACTTTCATAACTTAAAAAGGTTGCCATATGCTTCCGTGTATCTATTTTTAAAACTGATCTGACTGGTAAACAACCGATTTTCCTTAAAACAAATAATCAACTTTTTATATCTCTTATCATTCTTCATAGCTACAGCTGATTAAGCATGAATTTGACCAATAATATATGGGTGGAGTTTTAAGTTCTGAACGGATTAAAAAATAATAATTAAATTAAAATATTTTTTTCACTTTAAAGTACTAAAAAATTCTACGTAGATACCTATAAAAATTTGGACACAATTAATAAAAATAACAGTTGGATATTTTTATCTGGAACAACGAACTAGTTATCAATTTTTTTTTGCATTTCAACCTTATTTTATGGCAACGCATTAAGATATGCAGAACGTCGAAACATGGTACAAAAAATTAGTGGAATGTCGTTAATACTTTTATTGCAATTTTACAACAGAATGCAAAGAAACTGAAGAAAGTGGAAAAAGGAACTGTGTACATTTCGAGCTCAAAATGTCTTTCATATTATCAAGAATTGTTGAATTGGCTTCTGATTGTCCGTCATTTACCTTTCATAATAATCGGCATTTATTATCTGTGAAATTTTGAATAGCTGTGTAAAACCACAGCTGGAAAAAAAATTAAAGTTAAATTTTACTGAAACAGTTTTCGGTATGAGTTATATTTTGATAACAGCTTTAAAGTATGTATAGCATATCCACATGCACTATAGAGACGGTTTAAAATTTTGGTATGAGACAAATAATTTATAAACAATGTTACAAAATAAACCAACAAAATTGGCCATTTCATGTTTTACGATCATACACACTAAAAAATGTTGCAACCATACCTGATTGTTAAAATGAATTTGGTTGTTATATCCCTATTTATTGTTGGCTACATTATAGGTGAAAAAAAGTAAATAGTTGTAACAATCATACAATTTTGGTTATGAACCATATAGTATCAATAACTATATGTGTAGTACTCTTTTGACATAACTCTTACTAAATGGTTGTAACAACCATAATGTTTGGAAGTAATCTGCCATACTATAACCTTTTGTTGAACAAACCACAATTATAGTTAAATTTAATTTAACCGCCATCGATTCGACCAATGGTATAATTTCCCACTTAGTGCCAGACAATTGTCAGCACATTTGTGGTCGACCGCAGTCGTCTTTGTGTTTTGATTCGTTATCCCAAGAATTAAAAAATTACAGTTTACCTAGTTGGTGTTTTGTGATACTGATAATTCATTTTGTGGTGTTGTGACAATGGAAAATGTAAAAAAATATTTACAAGCATGGAGTTTGTCCCATCTCATTGCTAAATTTGAAGGTAAGTAGCTAAATATACGTGCTTCATTTAGTATAATAGTTGCAATGTAAGCAATCAAGACTTGATGCAACGATCGGTTTCGTGTTCATTTGTTTTAAGTCATACAAGGATAAGGTATGTTTGAATTAGTTCATTTTTCCATAAAAATATGTAATTTTAAACATTACTTTAAAAATATGCCAATTAATATAATACAATCTTAATGTTAAATACTTTGTTCCGTTGTAAATTAAACAAATTGTGTAACGTGATGCAAGTAACATCATAGTGTGTGCGATTAATAAAAATCTATGCTGGTATATTTTTCTCGTCATGGGTTAGTTATGCACAACGGGGTCGGGGGTTGAGAAAAACAGTGTCAACTGAGGACGTTCCTCTACGAACGCACTCTACATAATTATTTGATGAGTACGTTGATGGTACAGGGTACCATTCAAATTAAAATTGCTAAATTGTAATAAAATTCAAATATGGTGTTAAAATGGAATCTTTTTCCAAATACTCATACACCGAAGTGTGCTATGGCCAAAAAATTTCTGATTAATCTTTTATTCAGTTCAGTTCGTACTAGGTAAAACCCATAATAATGTTTTATGATACATTTGATACATTCCTGGCAGAAACGGACTGATTTCTGAAAAAGTTATAAAATCAAATTTGGTCTTAGTTTTTTTAACGGTATTATACGGTGTCTGAGCCATATATTGCCATATTCCTTATATTGTCAGGCCTAAAAATCTCCTAAATTCTAAACAATTGAATCGTACGGCTTTAAGTTATCTTTATAATGGGCAACTCGTATTCACGTAACAATCGTTTATATATAGCTTTCAGGTTTCAAAATTTAATTTGCCAACAAATTTTAAACCTTAAGATGGCAATATTTGGCTTAGGTACCTTACATAGCCACACACTTTTGATACTAAGACAAACGCAGTTGTGTCGAATTTTCCATTGAAATTTGCAGCATGGAGTTGCGGCACCTCTAGTAGGCAGTGCAAGTTGGCGCAATTTATCTCGAAAAAGTGCGTTTGTTTATTCCGTCACCCCTAGCAACCAGCATTTGATACCCAAATTAGCATTATAAAGTTGCGCTGCACCAGTGACTTGCGCCACCAACTTGGAATTGGCCCCTGACACTGTATTTTTTTGTGATCTTCACCAACCTTTTTCTTTTAAATTTTGGAGAATTAAAGCAAAATCGTGTAGTATCTTTTCCTTTTAAAAGTAATTTAAAATGTGGTTTGCCAAAATGCATACATAAGTATGTACAATATAAATTGTTCGTTTCCATAACTGTAACAACGAATAAATAACTGTAAATTTTATTAACATCACTTTTAAATGTTGTAATATTATTTTTCAGAAGAAGCGATAGATGATGATACATTCTCAAAAATTAACACAGATTCACAAGATTTCAAAGAACTGATTGCAAAGTATGGGGACAGAATTAAATTTAAAGAAGGTTTTAGACAGTTGTACAATAGAATTGACGAAGAAAATGTAATAACAGATAATAACTGCTTAGAAACAATAGTAGTTAAGACAAATGATGCTCCTAGTGATACTTCAGGTAATGTATGGTTTTAAGTGAAAACATATTTTTATGTATATAATTTTAGTTTACAAAGAGACACAAGAACCCATTCCCAGCACTAGTAAAGGCACGTGCTCTACAGTTTATAGAGTGGATGATAATTTACCTTTAGGTACTGTATGATATTTGGTAATGACATATATATACAGGGGTGAGTCACTAAGCGATAACTCAATTATTATTGAAAATAGAAAAGTTGTCCGGGTCTTTGAGTATCATTAAATTATTTTTAACTACACAGAATGTTCTGTGTCTGACACATACTAGACAGCTTAGCTTTTTTAATGTAGCACCTTACTTATATTTTTACATATTCTCAGTGGCTTCTTCCTCAGGTTTAAAACCGTAAATTCCAATGCGACGTTGTCACGTAATTCCACTTTACTTGATATTTTTTAACAATGCAATGGTACATAAAAATGTTTTATAATCATCGGAGATGAATATACACGTTTGATCATATTCGCAGAAACATAAAATTCAATTAGTCATTCATCAGTTATGTCGATCATCTCGATAATGCGACGTATACAAAAAAAAAAAAAAACTAATTGCAGATTTAGAATCAGCATGCCCAACGTAGTAAAATCACCCACTCTATTCTTTGATGATTTTTTGTTGTTTAATGAAATATCAAGGACCAGGTGCTTAGTGACTTACTGTTATTTTATTAAGAGTGAAGTTTTATGTTTGAATGGTGTTTTTAGATATTGTACCGGTACCGTATAAACGGTGTGATTCGTTTTTGGAAAAACTTCCAAATCTGGAAGTGACATACGAGCTTGTAAGTAAACACATATATTTTTTTGTAAGATGTCATTGCTTTGTAGGATTTGAAAAAATTTTTGCAAAATTCTATAAAAGGTCGTAATATATTGGCCCAGAAAAACCATTTAACACCGCAATTAAGAGATGATCTCGTTGCATTATTAAACGATCACGATTTACTACAAGACATTAATTCCTAGTATGTTTTAACGAAAGAACTGAAAATCGAACATACATTTTTGTAAAAAATTGCTATTTTAGTATTCCGACCAGAAGACTTTTACAATTAGCCCGCCTCATAAAGCAAGAATTCCCGAACGAAGATATTTCCACATACTATATACCGTATGTTAGACAAAACAAAAAAACTGTCCAGTGTATGAGGGGTAAATTAGTTGATCGTTACCATAATCAAAGAAAGAAGTTGAAAAAATCTGGCGTTCTCACCACTGCGTGTCCATCATCAAGCCTTGAAGTTCATGAAACTGTAGAAATAGCGAGTACGTATGTAATTAATTTTTGAAGATATAATTCCTACGCTTTTTTTTAATAGGTAGTCAAGATTACGAGGATGACGTGGAAGACTTTTGTTGTTGGTTAAGGTATAATACAGAACCTTGGCCAGAAGTTTTGGCTAAATGGAAGGCCACTACATGTGTAAGAATTCCCCGCTATAACCAGAATACAACCACAACTATCCAAGAATATTTTCAAGAATATAAAATTTTAGAAAAGTCCTTAGGTTATCAATTAGTAAGTAATATAACAGTATATTATGTAAGTTCACATTTTTATAGGTGGTATATTTTTTTAGCTGGAAATTGATTTCAATTATCTTTATCCCAAAAAATCAGAAATATTTTTTGCCGAAATACATAAAAAAAAAACATATTATATTACGATTGGCCCAATACCGAGGCGTACTGACTCAACATTTTCCGGATCAAAACATTAATATTTTGAATGAAGGTAAAACCAACTGATTTATTTCTTTGTAATTTGAGTTAATAATAATTTTCTGTTTAGACGCCACTGCTGTTCTAAGTTTATTAACACTACCGTATCTAATGCCAGTAGTGATTGTTACGACAATAAAAAGAAATGGAAACCGTCTAAAGTTGAAGTAGCGAACAGTTTCATTACTTACGTGAAAACCAGTGAAGAGATGCAATTGATGTTGGAACGAAGACATCGAAAATATGCGGAAACCAAACAATTATGCCAACCTCTAATAACAATTGTTGGACCAGATTTGAACAACCTGAAGGGCTATATTTCCATCGATAACTGTACATATCCTTTTGAATCGGCCTTGAAAAGTGTAAACACTTGTTTTAAAATAATTCATGCAATTGTTGCAGAATATCCACCTGAATGTTCTCATGTTTGGCAGTTAATACAAATTTACATCTATGATTTAAAGATAGAGTGGGACAAAAAGTCTTCAATTGTTTCTGCTCTGATATCTGATTTGTGTAATGAATCTGAGAGTGAGAAGTAATATTTAAAAATAATGAATTGTCACAAATTTTCAAGTTCAAAAAAAAATTTATTATTGCATATGAAATATAGACATTCCTATGATGGTAAATATATTCGCTGCATTTCGTATTCGTGTCAAAGAGAATTTAGTTCATACAACTCTTTTTACAAACATCTTTCGAATTTTCACAGAAAAACTTTCTGAATACTCAGTGGTTGTCTAACAACGTTACAGGTCAGTGTAGTAGTCAAGATACAAATTTTACACTACCTTTATTCCATACAGCTCCCAATAGTGTTGTTTCAAAAACAACAGTTTCTGATTATTCTGAACCTTTTAGTAACAGATTATATAATGACATAATTGCAAATAAGGAAAATCAAATTGAGAGTAGCATTGCGCTTTTTATTTCTCACTTATATAGAATCCTTTAATTATGCGAATGTCTGGTCCCTTAATAAATCTTTGGTCAATGAGATTCGAATCAAAGCATAGAACTCTAAAAAATATATCTAATATTTCTTACTCAAAAAAAAATATTTGCTTAACAATTGCAATCCGACACCAACTAAAACTATGTAAGAAATTGATATCTAAGGATGGATTTTCCCGATTTATTGAAAAATCTACAATTACAGAATATAACAAACAAAAAGGATTTATTTATAAATGGATAAAAGTTTATGACAAACTAATAAAACACGGGACTATTTTAATAGTGTATCTCACAGAATCACATCCAGTTTTTGGCAGTGTATGTTCTATTGCTGAAACTGAAGTTGATATTATAAAGATAACGTTCCAGTTATTTGAAACTTTAGGTTATGATCAGCATTTACATGCATATTATGTTAAATTACAAAATGACATTAAAACAGAGGAACTTCAGGAGATTGATAAGTTACACGTCAATTGTTTATACCATATGTCATACGATGGAAGTAGTTTAATTAATATAAATAGTTCTGTCTAAACAGACATAACAACTGAAGTACATATATTCATCATATATATATTATGTAATAGGCTAATATATAAATATGTTTCTATAATGTTAAGAAGTATTGTTTAATTTTCTTTATATGTTTATGTTTATATTTTCATTTTATATTCAATATACCTATGCTTTCAATAAAATACGAGTTTTTGTTTAATTCCTTCCAAAAGTGCGAATCAATTAATTAATTAATTAATTAATGGTGCGGCAGTAACAACCATAAAATATCGTTCATGATATCATTTATTACAGTTGAAATACATAATTTTTTGTTACGACAATTATTAAATTTTGTTTAATAAGACCGTAGAATATTGTTCCAGCAAGTACAACATTTTTGGCTTTTATAACCACAGTTTTGTGGTTAACAGATTTACAATATTTTAAAGTTCTTGTAACCATAAAAATTAACAATAAATTCATGATGTTTGTAACTAAAATAATCATTGTCCTATATATGACCACAAAATATTGTAGGAACTGCCGATATTATAATTCGTGGAACCATTTATTTTTTAGTGTGTATAAGATCCGAGTTTTGTCCAATTTTGTTTTCAGGTTATCTTTAAATCATGACAGAACTATTACAATAAAATTAATCCAGTATTCTCACGATGAAAGAAAAGAAAAATATGTTTCATTGAAAGTATCGAGACATTGCCAAATAATGTTAAGGCGCTTGCTACCCTGAAATTGGTAAGAACTAAATTCTCTGCAAAAATCAATTTTATATTATTGATACAAAATAATCAAAGAATGTATAGGTGTGTCACAAAGCGCGCGTTCCTCGATTTCTCATTAATTCTTAGAAACCGAAAAAAAATCACAGACTAAAACTGTAGGGTTTTTCAGGATTATACTCTAGAATTATTTTTAACTATACACAGTGTTGTGTTTTTAAAACGTAACACACAACTTCGTTTCTTTAAATAAAACACCCTATATATGTTTATATATTTTGATTGATCTCACAGTTCATTTTTGAAACACCGATGTAGCACTTCACCATATATAAAAAACAAAAAATAAAGTAAGGTACAGTAAGAAAATACCGGGTGGGTCTGAAACAAGTGAAATATCGATATTTAAAATTTTCGTTGATACCACAATGAACCGCGTATCTTTATTTATCCTTTTCCAAAATATTGTAATATACATGTTAAAAATAACCCTATTGCGATTTCTTAGGAATATTTATACCGGGTGTCTGGAATATGGCGGATTAACTCTTCAGTAAGTTATGTATGGGTGTCGGAAGTCCCAAAAAAATAATGAAAACATCTTTTATGATGTAGATTACGAAAAAAAAAACCGTAATTTTATAAAAGTAAAATTGGCAACACTGCACGCGTGTAATGCGTGAATACCTCCGGCTTACTTTCTGATTTTTTAGTAACGATAGTGACTGAAATCCACTTTTAATTTTTTAGGACAATAACTATAACAACCAGTAGTCATTAATCGTTAACAACCCGTTATATTGCATTGAAAAAAAAAAAACAAAAAAACATATAAGAAGACTATAGGGGCAATTCTGAATCAAACTTGTTAAATTGAAAGGGTGTTAAATTGCAAAATTTCCATAGAAACGAGTTATATTTTAACATGTTTGATTCAAAATTGCCCCTATTTACAAATTATGAACAAAAACAAAACCAACAAAAGAAAAATCCATTAAAGCATAACCAACTAAACACTAGAGAAGATGTTCAAAATTCCTGCCTTCCTGCATATAAGTAAGTTCGTAATGTTTCCAAATTATGAACATTTTTTGTAAAACTTAGTCATCAGTACTTGCTACGATAAAACTGATTTTGGCAGATGACATACCCTCTAAGAAATGAGAGCGCGGGTGGGCGGGGCTAGTACCTGCTAAAATAATACCGATTTTGACAAATGACATACTCTCTAAGAAAAGAGAGGGCGGTTGGGTGGGGCTAGTGTTTGCTAAGATAAAATTGATCTTAGCAAATGACGTATCCTCTAAGAAATTTAATTAAATTATTATTAGGCTCCAAAGCACTTTCAAATTCGTTCCAAACAGGAATACCTAGAACCTGATAATTGTTTTAAATTTTGCAAAAAAAAAACTGAGTACCAAAATTAACTTAAAAACAGGTCAGGTCAGAATTTTCCAAAAATAGAACACCAAAGCCCCCCAAAATTGCTTTAAATAATTTACAAAAAAATCTCCAGGAGCTGCCAAAATAATACACCATGGGTACTCGAACACTAAGGCATTTAAGACTTTTTCAGATTCGTAAAAAATAAAACACTAGAAAAGCTCAAAAGATTTTTTCAAGTTCATCCAGCAACATAACACCAGATTCCTTTAAATTTATCCGAAAATAAAACACCAGGGGACCTAAAATTAACGGGGAACCTTTTAAGCGTACGGTTCTGAAAACTTTGACAATTTTTGATACGTCAAGTATTTCTAACTGCAGTACTCGGTTTTTGCTGATTTGTACCTTCGCTTTATATAAGGCAAACATTGTTGTCAAATGGAATTTTATCAAATTATTACAAAAACAAAACAACCATATCTTTGTAAATTTGAGAAAATTGAGTAAACTTTTTCTAATTTGATCACTAAAATAAATTCACACATTCATTAATTTTTTGAGTCGCCTGCATAAGAAAATCTGAAAAATATTAATGCAGTGATAAACTACAAGGAAAGCTCATCATATTTTGCCCATCTTGGGTAGGATTTATTAGGCAAAATTTTGAGGTGATTTCATCAGTTTTTTTCGGGAGGGTAAACAAACATATTTTCATTCAAAATTTACCATTCTTATGATGATTTTAAAACATCTGCAAGATTTCAAAACATTCGGTTTTGGAGATCCAAAATTAAATTGCAAAATGTCATACAATTTTGTTTTTTTTTTTTTCAAAAATCTGAACGTTTCGGGTAAAAACTCAATACGGTTCGGTAATTTCGGGGATTAGTTGTCTAAATTGACACAGACGACGGACAGACAAACAGACAGACAGACGTATTCTAGGGATCATGACCGAATGAGAAAATTTGAAAGCAGCCAGTCTCCCGATAGACTCGCTTATGTGGTAACGTCGCAACTGAATTTTAAAAATAAACTTTAGGTAGTTATAAAACCGGAAGAAGACCGAGCGCTTTAGTGACTCACCCCGTATATAAAATATAACACTAAATTATATACCATTAAAATGTTTTATGTTATTTTAACTTTATCTGGTCTAATTTCTTCTAAAATTAGTAAAAACTCTTACGAAATAACGTGAAATGGAGACTTATTATATTTTTACTTACCCTCCATGAATCTCCATGGTACGATTTATTTTTAAAGTGTTTCAGCCGGCGCTATTTATTCTTCACTGAAGTATAGTAACAACCTTAAGAAATATAATACGAAAATATTATTGTTGATGATATTACTCGGACGAATCAAGAACAAAGCATACATTATAAAATGAAATTATTATTTTCTTTCGTGTTATTTTCATAATCGTCATAATCTAAAAAAGAAATAATTGGCTTGTGGTAACCAAAAAACTAGGTAAATACTTTTGATTGAAATCTGTCTAAATCTCTAAAAAAACTGCGTCGATTCTAGTTCTAAGTATATTCTGTTGTACCGTATTTAGACTCAATGTGGTTTTTAAAAAATTAGTTAAAGGCTTCGATTTTTCTTTTGGGAAATCCGCAATAAAAACGTAAAATTATCGGTAATTGATGTTAAGTCCCGACTGAGCAGTGTCGACCCTGCTGTTGCATAACTACGAAAATTTTCTTTTTGGTTTGGTGAGATTAGATGGAAACCATTGTGATTATTTGTACATTTTCCGCTTCACATTTTCCGCAATAGATATGTTAAAACCAGATGACTGAGAAGGACGACCGAAGAACAGGAGGGCAGTGATGCAGCCTTTCTCGGGCTCTCCGAGTTCACC